ATCCTCCTGCCTCAGCCTCCCGAGTAGCTGGGACTACAGGCATGCGCCACCATGCCCGGCTAATTTTTTCTATATTTTTAGTTGTCTGATTAATTTCTGTCTATTTTTAGTAGAGACAGGGTCTCGCTCTTGCTCAGGCTGGTTTTGAACTCCTGATTGCTCCCCAGTTTTAACAGCTGACGCTTTGTTGTTTGGATTTGATGGACCACTGTGCTCAAAATGCTTGAAATTGTATATAAAAGTGTAGTTAAGAAGTTTAATAATTTAGTAAGAGATGAAGTTTTATTCTTCAGCTGGTGGTTAATCATTCAACTGTCAAATAAGTGTGGTATCCGAATCATCTGAGTGACTTTTTTAAAGATGTTCTTGGACACCATCCCAGACCTACTGAATCTGAGTTTTTAAGGATGGGGGCCATAGAAATTTGCCTATGCAATAGACAGATGTCTATTTTATAATGTTATTAGAGAACTTTGTCTGAAAGGGGAAATGATTCCTTTATACAGCTTACTTTTCTGTACTTCCTAAGTATATCCAAAAGTCTCTTGATAGTCTATAAAATTTTGTCTTTTAGATATGATATAAAGTATAAAATAAAACTTTAAAAATATCCTACTCAATTCAAAATGACCTTACTCTGATGCCCTGTTTTCTCATTACATTGTTCACCTCCCTCTCCCACCCCTGTCATAGGAAGGCACAAGAGAGTCAAAAGGAGATGAAACTGTTGCTAGATATGTACCGCTCTGCCCCAAAGGAACAGAGGGACAAAGTTCAGCTAATGGCAGCTGAGAAGAAGTCTAAGGCAGAGGTAATCTATCTGCCATTACCTGTCCTTCTGGTTAAAATCTTCATTTGTGGGATTTTCCTTCATACTTGTCAAGGAGGTAGTTTCTTTTATCTTTAAACTTAGTGTTTAACTGCAACATTTTCTTCTCTTTCAAAGACCATCTAAAGTAGATATTTTAAGATTCTCCACAAGGTGGTAAGATTACATCAGAATTACTGGAATTAGGAGTAGGCTTACAAATTCTTTATTCCCTGCTTTACCTGTATGAATCATTGCTATAGTGATTCTCTTTTTCTCATTACTTTTGGGAGAAATTTCATATACTTTAAAAATTTGGGGGCCTAGAAAAAAAGGGTGATAACCACTATTCTAAAGAAAGGTACATGTGTACCCCTTAAAACATGTTGCTTATAGAAGTGTGTATGTTGGAATGGAGTGATGTTAAAACAATGTTGTAATGTGATATATGTAATTTATCTTGTTCCATACTTCTGTATAGGTTCTTTTGGTGTTATGGGCCCTCCGTCTGTGCACAGTATTAATTGATTTTTGAAAATGTATAAATAACTTGTTCTTTGTTTTTGTATGATTCCTTTCCTCCTGTAGTTGGAAGATCTAAGACAAAGACTCAAGGATCTAGAAGATAAGGAGAAAAAAGAGAACAAGAAAATGGCTGATGAAGATGCCTTGAGGAAGATCCGAGCAGTAGAGGAGCAGATAGAATACCTCCAGAAGAAGCTGGCCATGGCCAAGCAGGTGGACACACTTTCTTTATTTGGTTGACTTATTAAGTAAATGTTACTTTGTGAGTAAGTTACTGCCA